AGCAAAAATACATCACTAAAATTTTATGATAAGTTAGGAAACGCAAACAAATTGAATGTTGGTCATTATTTCAGGCACTATAATCAAGATATTTTGGTTATCTCTTAAGGCTGATCTCTGTTTTTGATATTTAAACATTTAAAGGTGAAATGATATGATAGCTAAAATTTGCTTCAACATATTTCAGGAGAAGAAAAGATGTGGGTACAAGATCCACCAGTTAAATATTTAAAAACCAGGGGATACAGATAAAACTGCCTGTTGCATGATACCTAATATCTTCCATGCTGAAAGCTACACAGATAGCAAAATTTAACAGTAATCGGCCATCTCTGGAGATGAATAGAACAGCAGTTCTCAATCTGTGGGTGGCGACCCCTTTCACAGGGGTCACGTATTAGATATCCTGCATATCAGATATTTGCATTACAATTCATATCAGTAACCAAATTACAGCTATTAAGCAGCAACTAATTTTAGAGTTGGAGGTCACCGCATGAGGAAAGGGTCTCAGAATAAGGGAGGTTGAGAACCATTGGTATAGAGGGTAGAAATCAGAAGGAAAAAAAAAAACTAAAAATAAACTGAAGCATCCCAGCTGTCTTAGTTTAGATACTGCTGCTATGATAAAATGCCCTGATGAAAGCAACTTGGGAAGAAAAGGTTTATTTTTCACACACGTCCCGGTCCCAGTACAGTATTGCAGGGAATTCAAAGCAATGGCAGGAACCTAAAGCAATTGGTCACATGATCGATCACATCACACCCATAGTCGGGAGCAGTAAAAGAGGAATAAATACATGCATGCTCACTTCAGTTTCTCCTTTGAATACAGCCCAGGGCCCAAACCTGGGGAATTCCTCTTCCCTCTTTGAAGCTGGATCTTCCTACATCCATGAACATAACAGAGTCAATCTACAGCACACATGTCCACAGCCTGACCTAGATAATCCCTTACTGAGACTCTCATGCTGTCACACCCACACTGTGAAGACTTCCCTAAGCTTCATGGTGAGATGCTCAAGAATCTGGGCCTTGGCATTTTTTGCTAAGGTACACAGATCCAGTCCCGTGTTCTCACCTGGTGAGCGACACCACAGATGCTAGTCACCTCCTCAGTGTGGGGCGGTCAAAGGAGCTCACGGTGCATGGACACTACCCATCATAGTGTACTATCATTGTAGGTGCTGTTGCTTTCATCTTCCTGAGCAGCTACAGTAGCCCAAGCAGATACTGTGACAGAGTGACCAGGCATCTCTCATCGGTCATCCCTGTCACAAAAGCCAGTGGGAAAGAATGAATGAAGTTCTCACGGGGTCCGTTTCTCACACCTTCCCTTTCTTTCCTTTTCCCTCTCACCTACCATCCTCTATTCCTGTCTTCCTCCCCACGTTCTTCCCTCTTTCCCAAAGCAGCACTTTCTACAGTGACAAGTGAGGCGCTAATCTAAGCAATAATTTAACTCCTTGCTTCCTACTTAAAACTCCCCTAATTACTGGGTAATGGGTCTGCAGAGGCAGTGGGGCTGGGTGAGCTCTGCCCCGCAGGCACAGCTATAGTTCATCTGTCTGTTCCCTAATAGCACTCTAAAGTTCACCCTTATAAACATGTCACTGAGCTGGTAATTGAGTGACTGGTCATGAGGTTCCACGCGTGGTACCTGTGGGTCACCGATCACTCAGAAGTGATGGATCTTTCTCCAATACCTCAGCTGGGCCAGCGACAGAGCCTTCTATCACCCCTGAGCAGAACATTACTCTCTGGGAAGACTGGAGTATGCCCCGGTGTGCTGTTGTAGCCATGGCCTTCATGGCAGGGGGGGGGGCGACAGAGAGGGCAGGCTAGAACACTGCCACCCTTCCATCACTCACTGCCCTGCCCAGTAGCCTTTCCTGCAAGGCTCTCCTAGGACTTGCTGACACTGAGAGGCATCAGAAGACTGTGAGCTTTTAGGGCAAAAGAATTGTACTGCAGAATTAAAGTCTTTTTGAGAATCGAGGAAGTTTTATGAGACTGGTGAGAAGGATCGGAGCATGACCTTCCCAAATGCATTTTAATGTACTGGAAACCTACTATCTCTGAGATACATGTCCATGAGTTCATTGCTTAATAGCATTGGTGCCTAATTTCCCTCATTCACAAAACAGAGCAGATAGTACCCACTTGCTTCCCAGGGCTGTGCTGTAAGTTAACAAAGTGTCCGATGGTGCCCAGCACACAGATAATAAATAAATGCTGATTCTCGCTAAATAAACTTTATTTTTTCCTTCCATTTTCATGAGAAATAGTCTTTTTCTTTCCTCCTTTGGTGATGAGACAGGACATATAGTAGCTCAGGTTGGGATGAAAGGGATCCAATCTCAATTCTGCCATTTGAGCACTAGTGGCATGGCCCTGGGAAGTTCACTTAACCTCCCTGGGCCTTACCTTCTTACTCCATAACATGGCAATACTATTGAGAGCTTCGCAGACTTCCTGGAAGGATTAAATTAAATAATGTGCATGAAACACTTAGCATAGTAATTGGCAAATAATTGGAGGTAACCTGTAGATAAATATTAGCTCAGGGGTATGCTTAATGTGATTTTAGAATATCTTTGTTCATGGCCCATTCTTAAATATATTCTTAAAATAAATTTTCAAGGATTTTCAACTTAATTGAACTTGATGAGTTTTTAAGCAGAGGGAAGAAGGACACAAAGTTGGATTAGTAGAGATGAGCGGGTAGGTCTGGAGATATTTTGATCAAAGAACTAACAAAAAAATTAAAAAAGAAATAAGATCTTTGCTTACAAAAAAGTAATGTATCTCCAAGAAAACCTGTCTCAACGAGTTTACAGAACATTTAGGAGAACAGGAGACAGCATAAGAAACACAAAATCTGTTTCTTGTTTGGTAATAGACTAGATGATGTGGAATGGAAATGCTACTGAGGGGTTTGAAAAGGAAAAGACAGTATTCCTTTTCAAAGACAGTATGGTAGAGAGCATCCTGGAGCTAGGCCTGCACATCAGCCCTGGGTAAAGGGGCAAGTGGCAGAGAGCTGGAGAACAGCCTCCAGATTAATGGAAGGCTCAGGACAGAGCACACTGCATCCCATTTACTTGACAGCATGAGGAACCTGGCCTTGTGCTTCTTGGGGTTTATCCCGGGAAGAAGTAAATACCTAATTCTGTGATGGGCATCAGGGGAAGATCTCACTGAATCCCACACCAGCAATGCTGCCATTTGCAGAAAGTCTGCAACTTTTACACATAAGGGTGGCTCACACATTTAGTCCATTTATATGGAATAACCCTAACGAACTCTCAGACACCATATTTGGATTTTTGAACAGTCAGCAATGAGGCAGTCCTGCCAAGTTAAGTCAGCTTGGATGCCACCAACTTTTGTCACGTGCTGGAATCTGTGTGATGGCCTAACAGGATATTTCATTTTTGTTCTCTCATCAAGTGTTGAAACAGGAGTATAAAATACTGATGGTTACTGTGGGAAACGTTTCAGGGAAGTCCACCGACTGAAACAAAGCTGGCAATATTCAGGTATTCCCCAAATGACAAGTCTCCATGCTCAACTATCCAATGACCTTAAATTGGCCAACTCTGAATAACTTCAAGAAAAAGCATGAAAAAGTACTTAACATATAGTATGTAGAGCTGACAATGGACCTGGCATGGAGTCAGGCAGTTTATAAGAACTCATTTATAAATTAAAGATACTTACAAGATTATAGAAATGTGTAAGAACTGAGAGAAACTATCAGACCAACAAATGGGAAGAGTAACTGTAAATATGCATTTTCAAAGACAATGTCAAGGTTAAAGACGAAGAAAGAACAAGTAATACAGAGGAAAGGCAATGAAAGAGGCTGGCAGTGAAGCACAGGGAGTCATCTTTGTTTAAAGTGACAAGTGACAACTTTTGAAGACCAGCTTGTGAGGTTTGTAAAACAAATGCCCTACTGCTGGCTGAGCTCCTGGTTCTGATGTTTCACAGCGCCCTTGTCAATAGGAAATGCACAGTAATATACTTAGAACCCAGGTGTCATGTCTACATCTTACTCATCAAAATGGTTCATAAAAAATAACAAAAATGTATAGAGAGGAAAGATGATGAAGTAAAAATAAAAATGCTAACATTTGGAAAATCTGAGGGGAGGGATATTGGAATAGAGGCATTTTTTATATTTTGTATGTTTACATAAGTCTAAAATTACTGAGCAAGATGTCTGGGAGGAGTGGAGAAAAGGGAAACAAACTATAATCAGGGTATGTTATGTGAGAAAAAGAATCTATTTTCAATAGATGGAAAATATATAAAATCAAATTTTACACTAATGTTATTGCTTAAACTTTTAGAAATCATTTTTTTATTTTTTATCACTTAAAAATTTAAACCTAGGAGATGACTTTTGAAACTCCAAATTTAACATTTCCTTGTAGCTTGGTTAGTGTAAGAACAGGAGAGAAGTTTGACAATGTAATGCTTCCCAAGTGGTTCATATAGGAGATGAGACTGGCTGAATCGCACAATAGTGTGACAATGGACTTGCGGGGGAGGCTATTCCCCTGTATGAAAACAGACTTACCAGTGCTTTTTCTCACCTCTTTTATAAAAGATATCAACTTCAATGATACATGGAGATTTCAAACAGCATGATAAAATGAATTAAAGACATGATTATCCTTAAGGTATTCAAATTAATATTATTCCTTATTTCAAAAGCTTTGGGCCGGGCGTTGGTGGCGCACGCCTTTAATCCCAGCACTTGGGAGGCAGAGGCAGGCGGATCTCTGTGAGTTCGAGGCCAGCCTGGTCTACAGAGCTAGTTCCAGGACAGCCTCCAAAGCCACAGAGAAACCCTGTCTCAAAAAATCAAAAAAAAAAAAAGCTTTGGAATCTTCCAATAATGACCAGAGCCACTGAGAATTATGAGAGACTCAAAACTTTCCAGATTCTAGGTTCTTTCTAGAACATGGATCTTGAATCTTTAGTACTCATGACATCCCCTCCCTAATGACCTATAAATCCAGGTGTCATTGTTGAAGTTCTACATGGCACAAAAAACAATTTTGAATCTACCAGTACCTCTGAAGACTTCTATCACCGTGAGACTTTTAGGCCCAGAAGAAGACAAAGTCCATAATAAACAGTGATGTGGATACTGCTCCCAGGAAAGCAGGCATTGAAGATGCCAGCAAACACGCAGCAGGATCCTTTCCTCTCCTCTCATTTCTCATCATTTCACCACACAGCAAAGTGGGCCAGACAGAGACGTTGCTGGCTTATCGGGCAAACAGGATGAGAAGTTTCTGTCTCGGAGACCTCTCCCCTGCACGTGGCAGGTGAGAATGGGCACGCAGGTACCTTCTCTACCTTGTCGCTCAACTTTTACATCACTTGGAAGTTCTTTGTCTTGTCACATCACAGCACCTGCTCTGAAGAGTTTCAAACACAGAGCAACAGATGGCCATTCTGCGGCACTCAACAGCCTCTGTCTCGCTTGTGGAATATTTGCACTTCATTAGGAACTGGCAGCAAACGATCAAGGATTAACCCAACTAGAGCATGATTTCTCTGCTATAAGGGTCATTCTGATCTGGGGGAAGCACAATTCTCTTCCAAATAACTGTGTTTTATGCTTTGTTCTTCTGAGAAGGTATCTCACTACCTCTGGGGTGGCCTGTATGTAACTCAGGATCTTCCTGGCTCAGGCTCCCAAATGCTAAAATTTAAAGAATGTACCATCATGCCTGGCTTGTACTCTTCTCTGTATCTATAAGGGCATGAGTTGGTGCAAGGACATAGCTTACTAAGGTGCATTCTCACTATGTGTCATATACTATGTGCTTTATTAAATAACTGAATTTATTTAATATCAAGGACTGTCATTATTATTTTGTAGATGGAAAAACTGAAGCATACAAAAGATCCAAATGTAGCAAGTAATGGGAATGGATTTGGAAGTCAGACAGTCTGAATCCAGAACCAGAACTCTTGGCCACTAAGGTGAATATAGAGTCTTGTGTCATATAACACTATTTCAAACAACAGTGGACCACATATAGGTCCATGATTCTATGATGTCTTATGGACTAGACACACCATATCCTTCTTATTTTGTGTAAGTACACTCTATTGTGTAGGCACAATAAAGGAACAATGCATTTTTTAGAACATATTTCCATTGGTAATATATACATATCTGTAACTTTATGTCAATTTCTTATTATTGAGATGGTCATGTCACAAAATATATGTAGCATTTTTGCCAATTGGTGTGTGTGTGTGTGTGTGTGTATATATATATATATATATATATATATATATATATATATATATATATAGAGAGAGAGAGAGAGAGAGAGAGAGAGAGAGTTATATTTAGGGATAATGAAGACTCAGAAAACTTACTTTAAGTTTTGTGAATTTCTTATTGTTGAATTGAGGGCATGTGTTCCACTAAAGTTAATTTAATTTGTCTTTTAATTGTGAAATGCTTCAAATGTTTCTATAACTACAGGAATAATATAAAACACCATGCCCACCACCCAGATTTAATCCATAATTTTCTATTATGGTTCCTTCAAATTTTGTTAAAAAAAATAAAAACCCCATACCCATCCATCCAACAACAGGCACCTGAGTTGGTTCCATAGCTAGACTATTATAAATTACATCACAATGAATAGGGATCCCTTTGAAGTCATGGTTGTAATTTTTTTATCTGGATCAGGTAGATAAACTTGGAAAGCATTGTGCTGAGTGAAATAACACCAAGACTATGTTTGACATGATCGTATTTGCTTGTGCTATCTGAAAAGTCAAGTAGGTAGAAGGCTGGTTACCAAGGATAGGTAGGATGGACAAGCGAGGAGATGCCGGCAAAAGGCACAAATGTTCACCTACTAGATGAGTGAGCCCTGGAGACTACATGTGCAACATGCAACTGTAGCCAGTAGTGCTGTGTTATATACTGAACATTTACTAAGACTGTGTGTGTGTGTGTGTGTGTGTGTGTGTGTAGACTGAGAACATTTAAATGTATATTGTATAACACACACATTCATATAATATAATATATATATGTAAAATTTGTGAAGCCAGGCATAGTGGCACATGCTTGTAAATCAAGCACTCAAGAGGCAGAAATAGAAGGTTTAAAAGTTTGAGGCCAGCCTGAGATACATATCAAATTCCTGGTCAGCCTAAATTAGCCACGAAACTACCACAAAAAAAATAAGTTTTGTCTGTGAACTTCCAGATCTGCAAGTGAAGTTAGGTATTTTCAATAATAATAATTTTAATATAATTAAGTAAAATTTTGGCTATGTTAATTAAGTGTAAAATCATTACAGAATGCATACAGGCATATATGTGGTATACATTTATATATTCATATGTGTGCATGCATGTATGTCAGTGTCAGGTGTCTTCCACATTCACTCTGTACATCTGATGCCTTTGGGTCCTCATTGATTCCTCCTCCTCTTTCTCCTGCTCCTTCTCTCCTCCTCCTCCTCTTCCTCCTCTTCCCCCTCCTTCTCCTCTTCTTCCTCCTCCTCTTCCTCCTCCTTCTCCTCTCCCTCTCCCTCTTCCTCCTCCTCTACCCACTTCTTCTTTATTTTACTTTACCATCTACAAGTTTTTAGGAAAAATATTTATCTAATTTTTCAAACAATTGACATGTTTTATTTTTCGTTTTTAATCCTTTTTCCGCAATAGCCCTACACTTCTTTTATTTCCAATACTCTCATTCCTGGATTCTTTGCCTGTCAAGTCTTGCCTGAGGACTGTCCTTACCAGTGGGGTTTTAGAACAGAAAAACAAGCAAAGCTTTCTGCTGCCCAAATAAGTTTTTGCTTTGCTGTTGTTGATTTTGTTGTTGCAATGCTTTGTTTTGACTGCTTGGAGTCACGTGCACCTGTGCTGAGTTGTGTCTCCCTGGCTGGGTCATCTTCATCTTTGGAGTACAGAAGGAAAGACACTCACAGTAAGGGAGGACCAGCATACACTGTTTGTGGAAGCATTAGGCCAAAGAGCCGAGACGAACAAGTAAGAATGAGAGAAGCTGAGCAGAGAGGTCTCAGTGGAATCCCTGCTTAATCACCTGCCATCTGAACTTGTATTACAAATGAACCAGTGTACGACTTCTTATGAAGAACGAAATTATATGTGAGGATCCTGTAAGACGCACAGACAGCTCCTGTCCAGCCAGACCTTGTCACTGCTGCTACTGACATCAGAAATATTATTGGCTTCATTTGGGTGAAAGCCTCTATGCAGGGCCAGCTGAAACTGAGCTCCCCTTCCCCTCACGCCTCTCCAGGGTCAGAGTAGTGCTGACAGGTCTACACTAGCCCTTAGCCTGACCCTAGGAGATTTCAGGGTTCATCTTACTAGTTGCTTCCTACAAGCAACAAGACCCACATCTTCATAGAGCAGACAGTGTGGTTTTGAAAGCAGAATTTCATAACTAGTGATTCCCAGATATTATGTCAGTGTTCTCAGGAGTGGAATTATAACCAGGGCTGGTATAATTATACGCTGGTCTGCTTGTATAACATGGTGCTGTTTAAATTGGTCTCCCTTGGGTCCCAGGGGTTCCACACACCACAAGTCATTTTCCCTACCACATACCGATGGTAGACAGGCCACCAGCCCCCACACTCAATTCATCTGAAATTCTAAACAGTGAGCATTAATATAAATGCTTATTTAAGGAAAGTGCTATGCAAGTTAAGCACATCCTTTGCTGTAAGGATCCCCCATTTCTCAGTGTAAGGACCCAAATGTGCTCCTTGGACCTCCTTCTCTAAGATATCTGATATGGAAGACACTAGCACATTTGCACATCCCTACAGTCTGCCAGGCACTGTAGTAAACGTTTTGCTGCCATTAGCTTGTTTTATTTACCACAAATAGGCACATCATGGCTGTGCTTGCTGTTTCTGCCCCTCTCACCTTCTAGAGTTGTGTCTGAAATGTGAACAGGTGAAAGATTATGCTTCTGAAGCTGAATGTGCTCTCCAGCCTGATGGGACCACTGCTAGAGCATAGCTGGAATAAGGTGATCACGGAAAGTGAGTGTTTGACATACAGAGAATCACATTTTGCTATTTTCTTTTGTGTGAGTTTTGCATGTGTTTGCAATTTTTTGTTTTAAAGGGGTTTCATTGAAAAATTATATTATTTTAAACAGAGTCCATTTTTATTAACTGTGCTCTTGACAATTTCATATATACATATAATGCATTCTGGTTACTCTCAACCCATATCCTCCCCTATTTCCCTCCCACTCTGTCATGCACAGCCCCTTCCCTAGAAGTCCCTTTCTTGTGTCTTTTTGCTTTGTTTTGTGCTCCACTAAGTTTAACCAGAGCCAACTGTGTGACCAGAAGTTTGGCAATGTCTTCTGGAGCCTAAGGGGTTCACCTATGGGTATTCAACTGAAGACAATGATGCCCCACCCTGCCAGCATCCATCAATAACCAATAATTCAGGAGGGAGCAGTAGGATCCCTTGAGCCCTGCCCTGATCCATAGCTGACTAATGACAGGCCTAGTCTTGTGCAAGTCCATTGGAGGCAACCGCAGCTGCTGTGGGATCATGATTATGATGGCTTTGCCAAGCCCAGAAGGCGGCATCTCACAGCCCTTCTCCCTGTGGCCTGGCTCTTACATTCTTTCTACCCTCTCCTCTGTGATAATCCCTGAGCCTTAGAGTGGGTAGTATAAACATCCTGTTTAGGGCTGAGCACTCAAGTATCACTTATTCTTAACACCTTGAGCAGTCATGCCCCTCTGCATTCCTAGCAAGCAAAGAGAACCTTCTTTGATTAAGGTTGGGATTCGCATTTGTCTATGAGCATAAACACAAATGTTTATAAGGCAGCTTGGGGCCATGACAGTTTAGCTACACAATAGACGTTTATATAGGGATATGAAATAGGAAACATAAATTCCATTCCTAAGGCCAGTGGATGAAAGAACTGTGGGTAGACTGATGTGTGATGCTCAGAACTTCCTGCCTTGATTTGCCCAAAGTTACCTGCTGGGGCACAACCTGGAGATGGATCCCCAGCAGTTAGCTATGGGATCTATATCATTTAAGGGTCATCTTTCTCAATGTGTCCTTCCTAAAGGACCCAGTGGTGAGTGACTGGGCAAAGTGGCAGTAGAGCTCCAGTCATTGTGACTCCAGGACAATATTGATAATAATCAAATAAATGTTATTCAAGACAATTCTGGTTTATAACCACTCCAGCCCTTGCTTCCTTCCAGGCTGGATGCCCATCATGATTTGACTTTCCTTTCTTCCCAATCCTGCCATTCCTCTTGCCTTTTGCGGGGTTACTCCACATAAACATCTTGCATCCCAACTTCCAAATGTATACCTCCATCAGGAGTGACTGACAGGAAGAGGTGAGAGCAAGTGCCCCCAGTAAGCCCAACTGTTATCAGTGTCCAGCACCCCAAGCCAGGCCCCTGCGCCCAGTGCTAGGCAGACAAAGCATGGACTAGGAGCTCAGAAACAGGTCCCAGGGCTCTCTAAGCAGCAGGAAAGCGCCAAGGCTAAATTCAGAGGAGGCCTTTCCTGGCATCAGCTCCCTGCAAGCCCAGCTGGATGCAGCTGCTAGAAACTTTGAAGGCTGAAGCTCATGCCCTGACCTCGAAGGCCTCCCAGCAGCTCAACCTCAGAGGCCAGGCCCATTAGGCAGCACCTCTACATGGCAGCCACTCTGAGCGATGCCAGAGCCAGCAGGTGGCTCTGAAATGCCCCATGTAATTAGAAATCTCATTTCCATTCCTGGTCTCTGGTTTGCATGGCAAAGGGAGCCGTTTTTCTGGAATGAATTATCCCCTCCCTGCAGATGTCTTCAAAGGCTTATAATCCAAAACGGGCTCTTGGAGACCCAGCCTCCCAGGGCCGCCCCTGCACACAGGAAGTCACTCTTTTGCCCGCACAGATGGGCTTTGGAAATATACAAAGTGCCGATGTGGCAGAAAACTCAAGGGCAAAAGTGTGTGCCTGGATCTTAGGTGAGCTCCTGCTACCTTTACCCTCACTTCTGCTCCATGTATCTGAGACTATCTCTCCTTTAGGACCAATGGCTTCATGACCAAGAAGCCCTTAGTCCCAGCCAAATCCTATCTTCTCTTACTCAGGAGGGTTGAAGGCCAGTCAGCTCTGTGGGTTACTTAGCATTAAGACCCTTGTCTCTAAGTCAAATTGACAAAAACTTCCATTTATACATGTGTGCTATATATGTAAAATCTGCAATTATTCATCTATCCATTTATTTCTAACTAACATTTATTACATCCCTACTAGTCATATGACCAAATAAAGGACTTCTCACTCTAAAGTAAGACTTCCTAGGAAGCGCTTACAAAGGTTATAAATGATCTAAATAAAGCTAAAGATCTTGGAATAAAGATACAAATGTCTGAATAGGTATTTATGACACATCAGGCTGTTTCTCAAGGTGGGTCTTCGGAGCCATGCCTCCAGCATTGTCCACGGCTTTGGTCCAGGGACCAGCCCCATCAGCATCCTGCCAGAGCTTGTTAGAAATTAAGCTTCACTGACCCCAAACAGCTGTATGAGACTCTTCCACCTTGCACATGCTCCCAAGAGTAGAGAACACTGTTTCTTGGGACAGCTGTCATGCCCAGGGAGGCCATCCAATGAGCTACCTGAGATTAAAGTTGTTATGCCACAGAATCGATGCTTCCCAACACAGAGAACCTTCTGCTTTTCAGTCCTAGGGCAGAGTGTATATGGGGGAGGGGTCCTCGCATACCAACTGCGTCCCCTGAAGCCAATCCATCTGTTGAATGCAGTCCCATGAGAGACCACAGTCAGTATCTACCTAGTCAAATCTAGACAGGATGGTCAGTTGGCCAAAAGTAAATATAAGTAGCTGAAACAAATCGCTACCAAATCACCTCAGAAAATTCAATGGTTTTAAATATCAGCTGTGACCTTTTTCAGGGTCTCTCCTGGTTATCTCTCCAGAGACAAACTCACCTCTCACTTGGCAGCTTAGGGACCCCCAATAAAGCAAACAGACATCACTGCTGGGTATTTCCTGTGACTCAAACATTTTCTGGGCTTTGCTGATGAAAGCAAGACACAGCCCTGCCCAGAGGAGGGCATGAATACAGAAGCCACAGTTCCCTGAGGTCTTATTAGAGATCACCCAGCTTAGCTATGCATTGCAATCACCCAGCCAGCTTTCTGAAAGTGATGTCACCAGACTCCACCCTAAAGACTGACTTACTTAGTCTTTTGAGTAGCTTAGGTTCCAAGTTCCAAGTTCCTTGGGCAGTTCTAAGACACATCAGGGCTTGATAACTCATGAGTATAATACAATCACAAAAAAGCTCAGATTCTTTTTTAAAATCATTTATGTATTTATTTGTTCATGTGTAGGAGGAAGGTATGAGCATCATGACCCACATGTAGAGGTCAGAGGACAACTTGCCCCCTGAGCCATCTCTCCAACCCTTAGTTTCTTCCTGAGTCTGAGGTTTGACCCTTACCCATTAGAACTTCCACTCCTGTATAAACTCCTCCCCTTAGGTGTTGATAGGACCTAGTAACTGGTCTCAAGCAAATAAAATACTCAAGAAAAGGAGTCACTGGTATAAATAGGTGACAAAGGATTAAAATCCACTCCTGGCCCACTGACTATTTCTATATACTTGTTCTAATGAAGCCAGATGCCACATTGCTCTTCTGAGAGATCCACATGACAATGAACTAAATTCTGTCATGGACCATGTGGCAGCTAACCTTGATTGCCAACTTAACCACATCTGGGATCACCTAAACCCCCAAGCAGCTAGACACACCTGTGAGAGATTGCTCTGGGTTGGATCATTTGAGATTAGAAAAACAACTAAATCTGGCCACACCTTCTAGTGACAGTCTACATAAAAGGACATGGAGAGGAAAATACTTTATTTTTGCCTGTTTGCCCTCACATTCACTGATGAGTCCATCTACCTTGCTGCTGAGGCATACCTTTGCTGGTATTAGAATCTACTTCTTCAGGATTCCAACATAGAGTGAAGACATGCCAAGACAGCCAGCCTCATGGACTAAATAGCAATGGGATTCTGGGACTTTCCTTTGGGAGATAGCCATTGTTGCATAGGATGAACTACAGCATGTAACCCACTCTAATAAATCCATATATATATACATAAATTCTATCAATTCTGTTACTCTAGTGAACCCTACTAATGCAGGCCACATATGCAAGCTTAGAAGCCAGTCCTCTGCCCTGTTACCTTCAGCTAAATCCCCAGCCCTAGTCTACAGCTTGAATGTAATCTGAGATTCCTGCTAGCCTGTGCCTGACTTCCTGTCCCATAAAAACCATGCTATAATAAAGTATTTTAAGTTGTTAAGTTTTGAGGTAATTTTTAGGGCAGCAGTAAATACCTAGTGAAAGGCTGGGGATCATTTGAATGCTGTCCAGATGGCTCTGTGTAAACTGTAGGGCAGAAGCTGCAATGCATGATTGGGAATGTTCTCACAGAAGAATAGATGTCTAGAGCATCCAAATAAGACTTTAAAGAATGGATGCTAGGTTTTGAAGATTAAGTAGGATGCTACCAAGTATAGAAGGAGCAAAGGTTTCCAGGAAGTTAGAAGAGTCTCCTCTCAGCCTGTAACCCTCTCCTTCTACCTCTACCCCTGACCTCAGGTTCATCTTGCAGTGTTCAGCTGAGATGGTAGTTTAGTTGGGAGGCCTTTTCTGTTTACCCTTGGGATGGTGACAGTGAGTGTTAGGTTCCCTAAGAGACCTTGGGGTATCCTGAATTCTCCCTAAAAGTGTTACCTGAAATGCAGGTTTGCATCTGGGTAACTGACATGGGAAACAACAAATAATACATGTATATGGTACAAAGGCAAGAATAAAACAAGGTAAAATAAACTAAAAACCATGTTGAGGTCCTATAGGCAACTGGAACCCAGTCTCACAGGGTAGCCTCTAACTAAGCAGCTATGGGGAATGCTCTTAGGATCTTTACCCAGGGTACAAAGATAGGTCCTAGCCAGGTGGTGGTGGCACACACCTTTAATCCAGCACTTGAGAGGCAGAGGCAGGCAGATCTCAGTGAGTTTGAGACCAGCCTGGTCTACAAGAACTAGTTCCAGGACAGGCTCCAAAACTACACAGAGAAACCATGTCTCAAAAAACCAAAAATAAAAACAAAAAAAAAGGACAAAGATGGATCCTGTCCTCCACTAGACAAGGCAGCTCATAAGTTACTAACACACTGGAAATTCCCAAGCTTCTAAATTACTGAGTGGTTCCCATGGGCCCCTCATGCAGCAGTGATGGGATTGACACATGACTGAGACAAGAAGCTATTGTGTTCACTTAAACATAACTGTTGAACATAGCACTGGGAAAGATGGATAGCAAGGAAAAGGTGTGACTGTCACAGTGGATCCCAACATAGGCCTTCAGTGCTTTATAATTGACTTTCCTGTGACTGTCTTTCTTAGACAGCAGTGAGTTCTGGAAAAGGCCTCATTCGTAATGTACTCCCGTAACTCTACATGGTAGCAGGTATTTAACCAGGAGTCACAGGCACTTCATTGATTAAGCTCACTAGCGTGGTGTAAATGGACTGCAGCCCGAGGCACTAGGGAGCTAGAGGTGGATTGATGATGGAGTCAGTACTCAGCTGTGTGAAATTTGTGAACACCGGAGAATGGTAGACTGTAGGATGGACCCTGGAAGACTTTAAATCATTGCCGAAAAGTGTTTCCACCATGTGCTTCAAATACATTGGGCTGCATGGAGATACAGGCCCAAGATCAGAATCTGAGAGGTCCACCCACCAACCAGTAGGAAGCGGTGAATGTAATGAATACAAGCTGGTACCCGCCCCCTCCCAGTCTCCCACATCCCCCACTTGCCCCAGCATTGGCAGTTCAGAGCTGAAGATTCTTGGAAGGATGATGTTTGATGAACAGCATCCACCCTGCTAGAAAAGCCACAGGATTTCTACCTCCTGCATCTGCTGGGGAGGTCTCCAGTTAAAATGGATGGATACAAGATATAAAGGGCAAAGCCACTGCCCTAGTGTGGGGAAACCCAATGGTGCCATTCATGATCCAGGGATCCAGAGTCTAATCTCCAATTGACATCTTCCCCTGCCCCTCCTGATTTTCCTCCCATACTTTATGGTTTTCCTTACAAAACCCTTACATAAGAAGAACTTGACCCAAGAGTAATGCACTTGATGCTGTTTTCCCCAACCAACCAGAAGGAAGAATTGTCCTCAAGGAAGCAAAAGCCAAACTTGCAAATACCCTAAGTCTCTTGGGAAAAAAAAATTAGTCCTTCGGGCTCTCATTGATGATGCAGTGCTCCATGTTCTACACCATGGAAAGTAGCATGTGATGTGCTAATTTGACTTTCCAATACCACTCCAAGATATCCATGTGTCTTGGTTGTTTTATAGCTTCATTATCAATTACAACAACATAGTTTGAGGCAATACAATTTGTTATTTCAAGTTTCTCTGCATCAACAGTCCAGGCACAGAGCAGCTGGACTGGGGTCTTAAGGAGAGCTTGAGGCCCTCTGGTTTCTTGTGGATAGGTGACTGAGGTCCCGTTTTATTGCTGTTTGACAAGTATGGGTCACATTCAGTTCCTGAGGGTTGCCTTCAGTTCAAACAATGTGGTCTTTTTCATGAGCAAATTATAATATGGTCTTTTGTTCTTCTAGGCCAACAGGAATATGTCACCTGCTTCCTCATGCCAACCTGACTCAACCTGTCATACTTGGGGATTATAAGGAGCTTTTCTGACTACAAAACTAAATGACTATAGGCCATTCTTTCATAAGAAAAAAATTATTTTCATCATATAATACAATATGATCACAAAAGTGATATTTCATCATATTTATATATCTTTCCCACATTTACAGGAAGGGCATACCCAAAAGGAGGTGGGAATCTTGCTTGTTATCATAGAATTCTGTGGAATATTCCTTTACATTGTGTGATACATGTCACTGTGATTGGTTTAATAAAGAAGCTTATTGGCTTATAGCTGGGCAGCATAAGGTTAGATGGGAGAACCAGACTGAGAGAATGCTGGGAAGAAAGAGAAGGAGTCTCAGAATCGCCAGGTAGATCCAGAGGGAGGCAAGATGAATATACCATATTGAAAGAAGGTACCACTACGTGGCAGAGGATAGATAAGAAATACTGGTTAATGTAAAATGTAAGAGTTAGCTAGTAACAAGCCTGAGCTTTGACCAAGCATTTATGATTAATAAATAGATTCTAAGTGGTTATTTGGGAGTGGCTGCCAGGACACAGAAAATCTCTACCTACAGAATTTTGTCTATCACAGTAGGATTCTCTAACTTTTGGGGGTGGGGGGAATCAAGTCTCGAAGCAGTTAAGTCATTTACTCTGGATCCTAAGAATCCAACTCTTGATCCCAACTCTCAATCCCCCTGTCTCAGATGGGCAGTCAACAGCTGGGTCATATACCAAGATTCTCCAACATTGAAGAGCGTGAATCTTTTCCCTCTAAGATTCAGAACTCACAATAGAATGAACCAAGATTGACACCAATGACTCATCAGTTCTAATGTGTTTAGAGGTAAATCAAGAAATATAACTGAAGGCAGCATCCACATATGAAGCAAAAAGGAATGGTGGTTACTGTGGCATGCCTAGCCTACAGGCACTTAAATTCAATTAAAGTGCACACACATACACATAAGTACTCTGCGCTTCAAATAAACTAAAGATGCTGGGCAGAGCAGCTTCTAGCCAGCAATTCACAAACCAAGGTCTAGACTGTTTTCCCACAACTGAAAAGACTCCAGTATGGATAAAAGGCAGAGGCAGAAATCTAGCCTATTGCTGGAACACCTGACATAACCCGAAGTCAGAATCTCCTGGTTTCCTATTAGCTGGATCTGATATATAAAATAATGATTTCACATTACATAATATAGATGTATATATTTATATTATATACAAATATATTCACAATACAGAAGTTACAATATTTGGAAAGGGCCAAGTAGCAAATATTTGAGAAATATCTGTCACAATTGTTCAACACTGCCATTGCAACAGGCATAAAGACATATGGTAGTATTTCAATATTGATTTCTATTTATTAATCATAAATGCTTGGTCAAAGCTCAGGCTTGTTACTAGCTAACTCTTACATTTTACATAAACCAGTATTTATTATCTATCCCTCAAGCCCAGCTTCTGGCCTCTGGTACAGAGTATAGATTTGAAAGTAGGGAGACCTGACTTCACTTTCTGACTCTGCCTCTTACCATCTGTATTAGTCAGGCCAACTCAGTTAATTCTATGAGCCTGTGAACACTGTTAATAGCCACTGAACACATACTTATTGGTCTACTCTTCCAAACTCCAATCACAATTGGTTTACGCATACCCTGAATTCAGGTCAATTATATGTGTGTGTGTGTGTGTGTAAATGATGTCTGCCAACCCCAGGTCAATGATATATATATGGAAATGATGTCTGCCAACCCCTGGCCTGACTCTCATACCCTCCTAGGAACATCTTATGCTCTCTCCCCCTCCTAGGAACAACTCATATCCCTCCTTGCTTTACCACTTTGGCCTTCAAATTGCTATGTCAAATATCAAGCTCATCTCTTGACACCCAGACGCACCTAATACACCCTACCTATTATGATGAATTGATTATAAAATGCATCATAAGTAAGAATAGACTTTTTAAATAAAACTCCAGAAACTTCATTAAAAATAAGCCAACTAACTTTCCCAAAAGGCATTAGCCCACTGAGATTTTATTTAATGTTTAAAATAACACTTTGATAAGGAATATGCTGATTATACATTTTACCTCAAGAAAGGCATCACTTCCTAACTCCATGTAAAAGAAGAACGGAAAGAGGGAAAATAGCGTCTAATTTTTGCATGCTATTCATCGTGTCCTCTCCTCAGCGCAAGTTTCTTGAGCCGGTCACTCTGTGTAGCTTTCAAATGACTGCTGATTCAGCCAGGGTCTGCTGCCCAATGGTCAAAGTGGGTGGTCAATGGGCTGCAGACCTGGGGTCTCCAAAGCTCAGAACTCCATGCTCTGAGTAAGGAGTCTTCATCTCACAAGACCTCCCTCCCAGAACCCCAGACACAAGTAAGTGCAAAACCTAACTATGGATGGCAGGGCAGCAGTCACCACAGAAAAATGGCATACCTGCATGTCTCAAATTCAAAGTAGTGGAGAAGTGAAACAAAAACAAAAACAAAAGGAAACACCAAACACCGATCCCTTAGTTCAAGGAGAGTTGCTGTGTTTGTAGGCTAAAGATAGATACTGAGAATGAAACTTTGAAGACACAAACTGGGGATGCCTAATGAAGGAACAGCAAGGGCCCACAGATGTTTCTGAAAAACATGTCAACAAAGAAGCATCTTTGCTCCTGTAGCAGAGAAATGTGACTGCTGTCAATCACGCCAGTGTGTATGTATCCAAACATCACATCGCTTTCCATACAAATATGCAATCATTGTGTCAATTAAAAATAAAAACCAGAAGAGAACCAACAGGCCAGCTTCTCTTTTATTAAGATAGCCCATGAGTCAAAATCTGTACAGAGTAAGACTGAGTAATGAGTGACCTTGCTTCACATTGCTGCCTTTAAAAGTACCAGGGCTGAGCTAGAGAGATATCTCAGTGGATAAAAGCACTTAACTATACAAACCTGAAGCCCTGAGTTCAAATCTCCGGGCCCTGGAAATAAAAGCCAGGAATAACTTCGTGGGTTTGCAACCCCAGCATTGGGGAGCAGAAACAGGTGGATCTTGCTGGCCAAAATGGCCAGCTTCTAGTTCAGTAAGAGACACTGTCTCAAGGCAATGAAGCAAAAAGCCATGGAGGAAGATACCCAACATCCTGCTCTGGTTTTCATGTGTGTACACATGGGCATGCACACCTACACAAATGCACTACACAACATACATACAGAGACACACGCACACAACAGCAGCCCTCACACCACTGAATATTGTGACAAATCTTTCTCTGTCCCACCAGGCAGCTCCCAAATAATGACATGGAGACTTCTTGTTAATTATGAAAGTCCAGCCTTAGCTTAGGCTGGTTCCTAACTGGCTCTTATAACTTAAATTAGCCCATGCATATTAATCTACATTCTATCACATGGCATTACCTCTCTTCATCTTGCACCTCATGTTTCCTTTCCATGTCTCCTGGCTTCTTCTGTCCCTCAGTTAATTCCTCCTCCTCTTCCCTTTTGTCCCCAGAAATCCCGCCTATACCTCATGTCCAGCTATTGACTGCTTCTATTACACCAATCACAGTAATACACCTTCACACTGTGCACAAATATCCCACAATGGAATGTTCTACCTGTAACCTGTTCTTTCATTCAAACTCCCTATGATTGTTGTTATTATTAGCATCATTATTCTTACACCATTCAACCATTTGTGAAAACATCACGATAGAGAAAGCCTGAGCACACATCCCAGAGTCACACAGCTATTAAATGAAGGAACAAGAATTTGATCACAAGTAATCTAAAATGGGCCCCTTCAACTACAGGCCCTCAAGTTCCATTAGCACCACAGAGCAAGCAATGCCACCTTCTAGGCCATGTCCTAAGCATAAATGCATCTCATTTAGTTTTGACAGTTCTATGAGATTGAGGCTGTCATCACTGGTATTTTCTAAATGGAAAAAGAAACAGAACTAAGAAGGGTCAGGTGGCTTCCCCCAAAGTTAGGATGTTAGAAACAGAGTATCTCCTTGAAAGGTTCAGGCACTGTGCTGGCCTGCCCTGTTACCTGGCAGGATGCACTCAGGCAACACTCTGGCCAGCCCAGAGTTCCGTGAGAACCACACAGGTGCAAAGGACCTCTTTAAAGGACTGACCCCTGCCCATTTATGCTCTCTTACTCTTACTCTCTTTCCCTCTTACACTCTTACTCTCATCTTACTCTGTCTCTCTCTCTGTCTCTCTCATATCTTATCTCTCTCTCTGCTCTGCATGGGTTGGTTACCTCTCACTCCCCTTTCCCTCCACATCCACCAATAAACTCCACGTGGGATCGTTGAGTCATCCCACATCTCCTTACTGGATAAACCTAAACATTTTAACAACACTCCTTCCAGATTGCACATTCCTAACAGTCCAGATCCTAGAATCTCTCATCATCACCTAGGCTGCTGTCCTTCATCAAATTCTGTACCTGGGATCTTTCTTCTGCTCCTCAGGCACATTCTGGCTAGAAGACCAGGCCTTCAGAGTTTAGTGAGCATGATTCTAGTTGAGTGTGACCTTCCTGTGTGCTGAGTGACTTTAGTGCCATGTAAATGATCTGCTGTAAATCAGGGGGCAGGCGATCCCACCATGAATCATCCATTCCTCCAACCTCATGATGACAGACATGCATAAATTCCAGTGGGCTGTGGCAGGTGCTGTCCTTTAGATTTCCAATTAAATGAGCCCTAACTTTGCTGCCTCTCAGTGGGGAGGCTGAGCATTAATATGCTAATGAGTAGGGCAGGGAGTCTTTATGGGAGCCTTTTGGTGTTGGTATGACCTGTGACCTTCTCTGCTCTTCAGCCCTATTTAGACTCCAGCAAGCTGGGCAGGTGGCTCTGTAAAGCAATGAGAAATGCTTCCATGAAGAAACCACAACCACGAGGAAACCATGTCCTCCGCATAGGAGGATGCTCAGAGGACCAGTATCCTACCATATAACTCAACTCAAAATGACTTCAGAATGACTGAACACCTTTGCAGTACCAAGAGGCCACTACTATACACCCAACA